TCAGGCCGAGGTGCATAGGCAGGGGTTTGAGCTGTCACCGGGGGCGAACAACGGTGCCCGACGGCCCGACCGTCATCACCTTATGAAAAAGGAAGAAAAGAAAATGAGAGGGGAGGGGAGAAGAGAAACAAAGCCGACGGGAACGGAGCTCCGTTCTTCGAGGCGCCAGGTTCGCACGGCCCTTGGGGGCGGAGGCCCCAAAATCGGGTTCAGGCTTCGACGTCCGACTCATGGAGTCCGGGCAGACGGCACAGCACGTGGCTGCCCGGGGTCGGGCAGGTCGATGGAACCCAGGTTCGATAACGGGCGGGGAGGGCACCCACGTTGCGGGAGAGTTCGGGGAAGCAGACGTCTCCTTCGTACCCCAGGACCAACCGTTGCCACAAGCACGAGTCCCCCTGACAACACCAGTGGCAATTAAACTGTGGCCGCCACGCAGTGTGCACAGCAGACCAGGGCAACACCGTGAGGTCTGTGTAAGGCAAGATTAAAGGTGGGGAAGAAAATCGCTCAATCAGCACGAACCCGCTCCCTCCTACGTGGCAGGCCTGGGTCGGGTTATAAAGATGGATTGGCTCAGTGCGCCACAGTATGCTCCGCACGTCCGCATCACAGTGTACGCCGTCGTCATTGGCGATGGGGAAGGGCGGAAGCATGCTGCAACGCTCTAGGACAAAGTCCGAGCTTGGGCCACAGCCCGCGCTCCCGTCCGTCAAGGCTCCATGCAAAGACAAACGAATACCTCTGAAAAGGATGCGCCTAGCTCTATTTCTCCGTCTCTCTCTGCAGCATCAACCTCAGCGTGGTGTCGGGGACCCCGGGGTGCACCCAGAGAGGTCGGCCGCGTTGCGGAAACGCGGACTACCGCTCTGTCCGAGATTATCCACCTCCCCTTGGAATTCCCACTTGCGCACGATGAGAGAGAGAGAGAGAGAGAGAGACGGCGGAAGGAGGTTGGCGTGTATCCCGCACACCCGCACGGGTTTAAAGGCGAATGAGAGGAGGAAGGACCGGCGCACTCGTGCACTCATGCCGACAATCGACATTCGGTACTCATTATCAGGCCTGGGGGCGCATACACGCATGCCTACTCATAGAGCCCTCAATGAAACATTCAACATCCATAGACTTTCATACCCGAACATGCAAAACGGATTACCCACACATTGGGACCATGCACACATCACACGGGGACAAAGCAGCAATGGAGAAAAAACTCGTCTTAAAATACAGAATTCTCACGACTGGCCGCTTCGGGCCCAGTCCCCAATCCGTCAAAACCACCGACGACCATAGACACAAGGCCCTGCCGCTGCTGGCGTCTGATCTCCACCACCGCTATGTTCCTCCGACTGCCTTATCCTAAGTCTACCGCTAACTCCGCCACCCACCGTCACTCTGCCCCCCACGGGGCACGTCGAGCCTTTCCGCCGCCGCAGGCTTCGCGCATAGCTTTCGCAGCTTGCAACCGAGATCAAAGAGAGTGAGAGGAAGGGATTGCGAGAATTTATAGCGTGGAAAGCGGCAGGGAGGCTGCACGAAGCACGGGGCGTAGATGAGCAGGACAGAAGAAGGGCAGCGGTTCTAGAAGGATCGAAGGAGGCGAGTCGGATGATCTGCAGTGGGGTGCGCTTCCCGCCACCACCACGTTGCCCCGACCATCCCAATCAGACAGCCAATCGTTCGCAGGGAAATGAGAAGGGGGGCGGATCGGACTTCGCTTAGAGGGAAGACAAAGAGACATGCAGGAAGGGGATGCACAGCAAGAAAGGAAGATGGTGCGGGGATGCAGAGCAGGAGAACGGGTTCACGCGGCGAGCAAAAATTCAAAAAACAGCCACGCGCGCAAAAATTCAAAATTCCTACTCCCGGTAATTCCCAACTGCTTCTTGAATTTCTTGGTGCGACCGCTAACCGGCCACGCGACACCCGAATTACATTTTCTACTCCGTCCCTCTTTTCGTAAACGAAAAAATAAAGAAAGAAAGAATAAAAAAAAAAAGGAAATGAAGCCCCGTTCTTCCCTATTATCTTGAATCCGTACTTTGGGGCCTTACGTGGGATTTTCCCTTAAACCACCAGTACTTGGCCCAGCTATGAAGTCCGAGCCTTGGCCGACCGGTATGCCGAGCCGTGCCGAGGCTCGAACTACCGGTTCTTCACTTCCCAGGCCTACCGTCTTCCCCCGAACACAACGCACCCTTATTTTGGCTGTATCTGGCCGGAAATATAGCTTGTATACATTCATTTTTAGGGTGCGTTATGTTCGGGGGAAAACAAAATAGAAAAAGAAAAAAGAAAAAAAAATAGAAAAAGCAAAAAAAAAAGAAAAAAGAAAAAGAAAAAGGACAAACAAATAGAAAAAGCAAAAAGAAAAAAAAATAAAGCTTTCACTTCTGTTGGCGCCACAGAGAGAGCGAGCACGCGCGCGCGCGCGAGAGAGAGCGAGAGAGAGAGAGAGAGAGAGAGAGAGAGAGAGACGGAGAGTGGCAGCGAAGTCGCTGGGGCCCAATGGCCATCTCTCTCTCTCTCTCTCTCTCTCTCTCTCTCTCTCTCTCTCTCTCT